AAAAAAAACCTGTAAGGTTATATGAAGTATACATTTTAAAAACTATTTAGAGCACTGAAAAAGTAAAAAGATTTGAGGGAAATATTTTATTTTAGTACTTATTTCTCAGAATTATCTGCAAAATTCTCAATCTCTAATTACCTTGTGCTTTTAATATTACAAGATGCTAGAAGCCTGTGCCACTATCAAAACTGTCATAATTTTTCTAACTTTCCAAAACTGTCTCTTTAATTTTAATAGAAAATTTAAAAATAATTATTTCATCTCAAAGTGTTTATGTAACTTTATAAACACAATTCCCTTTATGTTGTGATATATGCTGCAACTGGGAACAGTGGCTCTGGCCCTTCATCCCAACACTGCAGAGGCTGAGGAAGCAGGACTCAGAGTTTGAGGCCAGCCTACAGTATATAGAGAGTGTGTGATGAGCCTGAGTAAGTCCCTGTCTCAAAACCCATCTTCCCATCAAAAAAGATATAACCTGTAGATATTGTTGTTGCTCTTTTCTTAGAATGAAAATTAATCTACAATTCAAAACTACCTTCTAGGGTCACTACTTTATCTTCATTTTCACAGATTAATGCAGTAGGGTTTTGGTGTCAGAGCACCTGGGTATAAATTTCAGATCACTACTTGTTATTAATTAAACCTTATCATGGACTTTGTACCACTGTTAAACCCCATATTTGCTGTAAGTATCCTAATAAAATCACATCAGGGTTAGTTTCTGTACAAAGTGAAATCAATCATAGAAAGTATTTCAAATAATGTCATGGATAAGACCTTAACAAAGAATAATTTCAATTGTCTTAATAATCCTATTATAAATAAATCTCTGGATTTTTTCTAAAGTGCTATTTGTAAATTACTGCATTTAATTTTTTCACTTATATAAATATGTAGGTTATACTTTACGAAATAAGCAATGCAACACCTTTACATGTGTGATCATATTTTAATCTTCAAAATAACTTTTTTTTAACTTTTACAAAAACTTTATTGAAAATGTCATACATGCATATAAGGTGTTTTGATCAAATCCATGCTCACTCCCTCCTTTCCAGCACCTCTCATATCTCCCCATCGCTGTTTTCTTTTTTCGATCTGGCTGCGACATCCGTCACCCCACTGATCGCCAGGGTTGATTCGGCTGATCTGGCTGGCTAGGCGGGTGTCTCCTTCCTCCTTCTGCGCTCCAAGTGAGTCCCTCCCGAAGCTGTGCGCTTGGTTGAAGAGGACGACCTGACCTGATAGAGGAGGCCCGGTCAAGGATATACGAGTAACTGCACTTCCCTGCTAGAACCTCCAAACAAGCTCTCAAAACAATCTTAATACATAGAAATGATACAGTTGGACCTCTTTCTTTCATAAATAATTTATAATCTTAATAAATCAGAATTTGAGTTATAGCTAGGGTTAGAAGCTCATAAAAATTAAATGGCTTTCTCAAGATGTTGCATTCATTAAAATAAAAAGAAAGTGATTTTGAGATACAATGTTTGTAAACGTTATATAACTTGTGGCTGGTTTTAACTTAGATATGCTATTTAAAGGAGACTCCATTTTCTATTTCTTTATGTATTTAAATTGATATATTTGCCCAGCTGCATTCCATCAACGAACCATTTCAACCACAATATCCTGTTCCTTCTGTTTTACCTACCCCTTGAGTTGCATGTGACCCAGGTGACACAGGAGTATGGCCTCAGCGGGCCTGTACCAGATACCCTGTGATGTGTACTCAGATTAGAGAAAGGAAGGGGAGGAAGATTCTTACCTTTCTGGATTTTAGTTTCAGTAGTATTTCCATTCCACAGGCTACTAATGTGTTGTAAAATATATTTTTATATCTATCTCTCTATCTATCATTTATCATCTATTATCTATCTTCTATCTACCTATCATCTATTATCTATAATTCATTCATTCATTCATTTATAGCTGCCACAGTTGGAGCACTGTCCTGCCATGGACTACTGTATCTATGCAAAAGTGGGCTTCTGTATTTTTTAGATTATATTAAAAATCTATGAAGATATATTTTTCATAGCTAGGGCTATGTATTTCCAAGCTAATTAATTACACTAGGCCATTGGAGAGAATGAGTAAAATTAATGGATTGCTCTTGTGTCAAAGCCTAGTTATTGGGGACTTGTTCACCATCCTGCTGAGCTGAACACTATAAATTACTACTGTGAGTTATATACTATAAATCAAGGAAATGCCCATACACACAGCTATATACACATGCACATAAACAAAAATTAATGTAAATCTTAAAAACTAAATGAAATCTGCATCAGACCAGGTAGTACACAATAGTGATCTCAGAACTCAAGATGCTGAGGCAGGTGGACCATGAGTTTGAGGAGCTGGTTATATAGTAAGACCTCATCTCAAAAATCTGAAAAGAGGGTGGGGCATGGTAGGGCCTGCATCTAGTACCAGAACATGGGAGGCAGAGGTAGGAAATCTGTGTGAGAGTGAGGCCAGCCTGGTCGACATGGTGAATTCCAGCTGGGGCTATAGGGAGACACTCTCAAAACAAACAAAAAACAAAAAGCAAAAGAACCCATAAAACCAAAGAAAGAAAGAAAGAAAGAAAGAAAGAAAGAAAGAAAGAAAGAAAGAAAGAAAGAAAGAAAAACCCAAATAAACAAAAATATGAAAAGGAGTTCAATCTGAGTGTCTATTGTTTCTGTATTCTATAGCCACATTAGGGTGATGCATGAATCATGACAGCCAGACCCTTAGCATTCATTTTAGCCAAGAGGGAACCCAAACTGCTCTGAGAACTCGTTCTTTCAGATTACTCTTGAAACAGTGCTCTTGAACAAAGGCCTCATTCTTCCTTTTATTGAAAGGGTATATATAGCATGAAATGGGGAAGTAAAAGCATTGTCTTGTCTTATAAGAGGATTTTGTCCCTTCTGATTCGTATTGACCTAAGACAACGCACACAGCCACAAACAGATGTTATCAACAGAATTGATGGGATTGCCCATATATTCTTTATAGCAGAAATGGGATATGTTGCTTCTAATAAAGCCTGCTGCTTACAGTGCTTACTTGCTATCAATGACATGCACACACATTCATACACTGTTCTGGTTAAATGCAAGAAAGAGTTATGAGGGGTTAAAGCTATATTCCCATGTCATTATAGGAGCCCAATGCTTAGTAAACTGGTTTTATATTAAGCAAACTGAGATAGTCTTAAATGATATCAAAACATCTTTGGTTAGGCTAAAAAATATTCATTATTCCACATCTTCACTGCTGTGTTTAAATATATCTAAGAAAATAAAACCACCCAACCAGATTGGTGCCACTGTTTATCCATTATCTTTAACTTAAAATCTCCGGACTTGGGAGATGTCTCAGCAGTTAAGAACACTGGTTACTCTTACAGAGGACCTGGGTTCAATTCGCAGCACCCACATGGAGGCCAACAATTGTCCATAATTCCAGTGCCAGGGGATCCAATTCCCTCTTCTCAACTCTGTGGGCATTGCATGTACACGGTGCACTACATACATGCCTGCAAAATACTTATACATATGAAACAAAAACAAATCAATCAAAAAGTTAAAAATCTTTAAACAAACAATCCATGTTATTTGCCATTTATTTATCTAGATTATTCTCTTAATTTCACACAAACATAGTAATGTATTTTGTTAGTAATATATTTATATATATTTAAAAATACTGACACATAATTGTATGTATTTGAGGTACAATGTGACATTTAATACTTGCATACAGTTGGTATGGCAAACAGTATATCATTTTAAAATAGGTTATTGTTTTTTGCTTGATCTTGAGTAGCCTGAAAATTGATATTTTAAAAGCATTTTTCAATAGCATGCAAAGGGTTTCATTACAGCATTTCACACATATATGTTTTTATGCTTTGCTCCGATTCACCTCTGACCCACTGCTCGCCCCCCGCCCCCTGCATAGCCCCTCTCTTAGCAGGTCCATTTCCTCCTCCCAAAGAGCCCCTTCTCCTTACAAGTAACTTGTATCCAATTTCCCTCTCAGTTGGCATTGACTGCTCATTTATTTGATTTCTACCCTGTACTGATCAAGATTCTTCCTTTCAAAGAAGGAAAAATATGCAGCTATCAGTATAAGCAAAATGTGGAAAGAGAATTCTGTAAGGAATATCTCTTAGTTTAAAGATACAGATACAGGTTTGGAAATCAGTCATAAACTATGTTAAACACACCGGTCATTGAGGCCTTATTCCCCTGTAAATTTAAAACCAGGAGAAATAGTACCTTGCATTTGAAT